TTCACCTGTCTTAGACAAAGGCCGTTCTCCCCGATAATGGGTGGCCACTTTGAACAGTTTTGACGGTACTATTGAAGGCCAGATGTGTGACACAAGGGCTGACTGACAAAATGCACGAGAGCAGTTGCGAGGTACCGTGAACAAGCCAGTCTCTGAGCCACAAATTATGACGCTTTCAGAACAGAGACAGGCTGTGCCTGGTCCACTTTTGTAGTCTCTTTCTTATCCTAGTTTTCATCATATTATGAAAGACACTCCTAACAAAACGATTGTATTCATGAAAATTCCCATTTTCCATGCAGGTGCCTTAATAAGGTCTACTAAGGTCTGTGGGGCACCAGCTAGGTGCTCCACTATTGCACACAGAAGATACAAATTCGTTTGGCGTAGGGAGAATTTCAAAGAGTACATAATTCTTTTCTACTGATATGTTGTACCCATCTCAACCAGGGTTGGTCTTGACAGACTGGGTCAAAGCCCGCCTCCTAAATGACCTAAATTATGTCAATGAAGATGTACCCCCCCCCCCCCGATACACACACACTTTTAAAATATTTATTTATGTCCTTAATGTCACTACTCCATATAAAAGAAACGATTCAAAGTTACTGCTAAAATAATAATGCAGTCAAACCTCGTTGTACCCCCCCCCCCCCCAAACCGGTTATACCGCCTCCCCCTCTCCATTTGTAGCGCCAGCCCCGCTTACCGACATGCTTTGCCAATATACGAAACGAATCTATAATACACATTGTCCATTCTTAGCTGGATCGAATGACAGAGTTCATTTTCTCAATGACAATGTTCCTCGGCCGCAAGAAGGCTGTCATTGTTTTCCCTTTTTTAACACAATCTGTCAGGAACAACGCCAGTCCTACAACACACAGACAGCGCAGGATAAACTTTGTTGTCCCCCCTACGAAGACGCCCACTGAGCTTCCAGTGCTCTAAGTGAACACTTCTAAAGTACTCGACCCGTAGAGAAAGAGGTAGACCCAGGCGAACTTGGGGTAACTCTGTGGCAGACACACTCAGAACTCAAAACACACACCATGTCTCTCGTACAGGCTACTCGCCTGGCGGCAGACAGGCATCTGTGTTTGTATATAATATTACGAAGTGAATATTCCCAGTGACACTGGGGATAGGTACAGAAACTATTCCCAGTGACAAGGGAACTCTTTTGCATTAAAAAAATCAGAAGGCTTTGCACTGTAGCCTTGAAAGTTGAAAGGCTATCTCTCTTCACACTTCAGTCTGTTCACTGAGTTCAGTACTTTTGTTCTCTTCTCTTACTTAGGGCTTAGACTTGACCGAAGAACAGAGATCTGGATCTTGTTTAAGAAAGAAGAATCTGGAAGGATTTCTATCTGTCCTATACCGTGGTCTCCGAAATGTGTAGGCTATGTAGATCTAGATCTAGATAATCTAGACCTACACGTACATTTAAATTACGACTGAATAACAAGCAAACATAGAATGATCATTCCTTTTTCCACAAAAAAACCTCACACTCACACCAGAATCTACTTTAGTTTAGTTAGATCTAGATCTACAATCTAGATCTAAAATAGATAGTCTAGAGATCTAGTATTTAGTAACCCATCCCCATCATCATGCCTATGTAGACCAGTGTGGGAACAATAGGCTAATGGGCACGTCTGTTCTCAGTTCTCAGTGTCACTGGGAATAGTTTCTGGGCCTATTCCCAGTGACACTGGGAACAACTCTACCGTAAGCCCTATTGCCAGTGGTTTTTTGGGCCTATCCCCAGTGTCACTGGGAATAGTTTCTGGTCCTATCCCCAGGGTCACTGGGAATAGTTTCTGGTCCTATCCCCAGGGTCACTGGGAATAGTTTCTGGTCCTATCCCCAAGGTCACTGGGAATAGTTTCTGGTCCTATCCCCAGGGTCACTGGGAATAGTTTCTGGTCCTATCCCCAGGGTCACTGGGAACAGTTTCTGGTCCTATCCCCAGGGTCACTGGGAACAGTTTCTGGTCCTATCCCCAGGGTCACTGGGAATAGTTTCTGGTCTTATCCCCAGGGTCACTGGGAATAGTTTCTGGTCCTATCCCCAGGGTCACTGGGAACAGTTTCTGGTCCTATCCCCAGGGTCACTGGGAATAGTTTCTGGTCCTATCCCCAGGGTCACTGGGAATAGTTTCTGGTCCTATCCCCAGGGTCACTGGGAATAGTTTCTGGTCCTATCCCCAGGGTCACTGGGAATAGTTTCTGGTCCTATCCCCAGGGTCACTGGGAATAGTTTCTGGTCCTATCCCCAGGGTCACTGGGAATAGTTTCTGGTCCTATCCCCAGGGTCACTGGGAATAGTTTCTGGTCCTATCCCCAGGGTCACTGGGAATAGTTTCTGGTCCTATCCCCAGGGTCACTGGGAATAGTTTCTGGTCCTATCCCCAGGGTCACTGGGAATAGTTTCTGGTCCTATCCCCAGGGTCACTGGGAATAGTTTCTGGTCCTATCCCCAGGGTCACTGGGAATAGTGCTTTCCATAATATTATCTTTCCGCGACACTACCCGGCACCAGCGGAAGGACAACGTAAAGTAAGTATGTGTGCATATCATTATTAATATGTTCGTCCCTGTCTCTATATGTGGCGTCGGTGGCCTAGTGGTTTGGCTACCGGACCCGTAATTGAGAGATTGCGGGCTCGGGGGTTCGAGCCTCAACTCGGTCCGACGTTGTACCCTTGGGAAAAGCACTCTACACGAATTCCCCATTTGGCTCAGCCTTTCGGACGGAGATGGACGTTAAACTAGGAGGTCCCGTCTCTTAAATAACCTAACAGTGTTGATAGGGGCGTTAAACGTATACTGTTTCATTTTTTGTCTCTATACTGATAAGTGAAGGGTTCCATTTCTTCCAGTGGTTCTTCACCAAGCAAGGTCTCATTATTTTGCTGTGATGGTTTTTATAGTCTTAGTCTTACTCATGTCGACACTCGAACCAATTCACCTGCGTCTCTGGTGTAGCGGTAAGGCTACTCGCCGTCGAACGCAAAAGACCCACATTCGATTCTCGTATGAAGAAATCTTACATCATATTTTGCTCTTCCTGTTGAGACAATGTATCTCTCTTAGCCCGGGGTGGCCCTGACAGGCAGGGCCGAAAGTCAGCATCCAAAATGAACTGAATTGCTTCGATGGAGACGTAAAAACACCTACATGTACACATTTATTTAATGAATTTAGATAGGTCCCTCAAATCACTGCTCTGTATGAAAGTATCAGTTCAGGGTTGGTGCTGAATATTATCTTTGGCTCCCCAGCTTCTCCGAGAAGGCTTCCTTTGCTTTTTCTATTAAACGTAATCTAGCTGAATGTCATCCATACTTTTTGTGTTGGCCTTGTCGGTACTCTTAACCGATGCTGTCACTGGCAGCTGCGCTCCTGCTATTGTTGTTGTTGTTGTTGCTGCTGCTGCTGCTTCGATGGAGACGTAAAAACACGTCGCTGCAGCTGCTGCTGCTGCTGCTGCTTCTCCTCCGATACTCTTGATGCTGTGGGTGTGGCTACTGTGTCAGCTCATCAAGTCATCAAGTCATCAAGACTTGTATACCCAATTCACTATTGAGCACTTTCCTTAGGTTGACGATTTGGGCTTCATGCTTAGTGGTTATACACTCTAGCGTTCGCTTGGTCGGCACTTGGAACTGTATTAGGCCAGATGAACTCTAGCTTTTGCTGTTGTAGGATACAAGTGGATTAGGTCTGCTATGTATTTCAAGAACTAAAGCGTTTGAAAATAGAAGATTTCCAGACAAATGGGAAAGACCACGAAATGTTTTAAAAGACGTAAGTATAAAAAGTGACGTAAACGCTGCTACCCTAATGCAGGCTGCCTACCACTTACTTTCACAACTGATGCAGAATTAAACTGAAAAGGAGGCAAATTTAAAAGAAAGCTTTATATTATGCAAAATTATGCTAATTAAACGTAGGGTGACCTAGGTGGGAAAGAAAGGAAACAAAACGGGAGGATGAGATAATGATTCATCAGTTTTGTTTTGTTTGTTGTATTTGCTTCTCTTAGTTTTGTTAATATATATGGATGGGTGATTACATCGAATGGTTTTTTAATTTAGTGATACGTCCTTTCTTTGTTCTCAACAAATCTTTTGGAAATGTTTTGCGCACCTTGCAATTTAATTAGAAAATAAATGTCGTGAGAAAAGATAGCAGAACATAATCGCCATAAGAAGAACGATAATCGATACCTTCTAGTGGCACCGAAAACATTTTCAGATTATCAGACTTGGCATTACGTGGCTATTACAGATATTATAAATCATTTTCGTAAGTTCAAAATGTTCTCCCTGCTAGAATACGAAGTTGAATAGGTGCTAAATTATAATGTTCTAGTAGGACAGGCAAAAAGGAGGTCAGACAAGTGAAACCATCGATTTCAAATTTAGCGGTACAAAGTCTTTTACTATTTACAAACGACGTTAATGATTGTAGAAACTACAATTTGCTGTGTTCAATACTGAGTCGGGTAAATTGCTTCAATTGAACTTCATATAAGGAGAAGGAATGATGTGTTTATAGTAGCCTCATAATCTCTGCGCTATAATTTTACGAGACCACTTTGAAAATAAGTAGTCGTTCCTCTTCTCAGGATTGGCTAAGATTCTAAAATCTGTCTTGACGCCTATGATATCGCTATAAGTCTTATATTTGATCCTATAATCTAAAAGTGTAGATTCAACGTAGCTAACTGGAGAAACAGCATCTCTCTCTCTCCCTCTCTCTGTGTGTGTTTGTGAAATGAGCTCTCTGGTCGTTATGTCAGTCCACAACATTAGCTCTCTGGCCGTAACGTCAGTAGACAACATCTCATGTTGTCTCCCAGGTGTCGTGGGAGGTCAGAGGTCAGGGCTAATCAGTGACGCTGTGTCTGCCATAGTCACGGATCTCGTTCTCACAGTTGTTGTTCAGTTCGTACTAGGCGTCTTTTGCATCGTCGCCAACATAGTCAACATGATCGTCTTCATCAAGATCGGCTTGGAGGACGGTATTACCGTAGCTTTTTTCGCCCTGGCCATCTCTGATTTGCTGTTTGTAGGGATTTATTTCGTGATCTGTGCCTTAGCCCTGTTGCATAACGTGCTCAAGCTGAGGGGGTACGTTCGTTTCAATTCTCTTGGGTTCCTGCTCATCTGGTACAGCTCTGCCTTCTTCGATGCCTCAATGCTCATCACCGTTTTCCTTGCAGTACAGAAGTGTGCATGCGTAGCTATCCCCTTGTTGTTCAAAAACGTCTTCACGAGATCCCGGTGCGTCGTTGTGGTAGTGGTCATTTACGTGGGAACCTTCACTTGGTACATGCCTCTGCTCAGCCAACAGGGAATGAAAGAAAGGTTCGACCGACGGACAAACACGACCGCCTTGATGTATAAAGCACCACCTCACTTTTTGCTCATGTTGCAATTATTCAAATCTGTTAGCCGCACCGTGTTACCTGGAATTTGTCTTTCTCTCATTATCATTTCCGTCATTGTCCTCACCATCAAACTCAAACAAGCTAGCAAGTTCCGACAGGCATCGGCCTCCCATGGCAACAAAGACAACAACAAAAACTCGGACTCATCTTCCATGAAACAAAACCCCAGCTCTAGCAAAGAGCTTCGGGTCATCAAGGCCGTGACCTTGGTTTCGACTATCTTTGTCGTCTGCTATATTCCAGACATCGTTGTCTCATTTTGCCAGATCTTTTTTCCAGAATTATCCGACAGAGGACGATACCGAAACATGAGGAAGCTTGTGGATGAAATACACAGCGTCATGACCACAGTCAACTCGTCCGTAAACATCTTCGTGTATTTCACTTTTAACACTCGCTATAGGGAGAAGCTGGTCCGTCTGTTTTCCCAGTTCCGTAGATCTAGGAGCGGATAGGAAATAAACGTCAATAAACGAGAAGAAAAAATCTACTCCACTGTTTTCGGAACACTGTGAATGTATACCACCCTCTCATCACACATTTCAAGTTAGTAAACTAAATTCCTAAATTGTACTGCCAATGAAGCAAAGTTCTACTCGAAACACACGTTCTGAAAGTAAGTTAAAAGCATCAATAGCATGATGTCACGTCGATCCACGGAGAATGGACACCCCGGGAGATAATTACTAGGTTAAGTATATTCCAAATGGAGAGCTCAAGTTCACTTTTATATTACATGCAAGTTTCCATTTCCAAATTGTACATTAATCCAACCAACAGAGCAAAACAAAAAAGACAAGAAAAACAAAGCAAAACAAAACAAAACAAAACAATGGGTATAACAACAACAAACAACAACAAACAACAACAAACAACATTAAATACTCCACGTCTATCAGTATGTATTTTATAGCAGCAGAATGTGTGTGACATTTGCACTTTTGCATACATTTGCGCTTTTGATAAGTTGTGATATTGCAATTCTTGCCACGTACGAAAAGATTATTATACAAATCCATGCTATCTATCTATCTGTCTATCTATCGCTCTGTCTATCTATCTATCTATCTGTCTATCTATCTATCTATCTATCTATCTATCTATCTATCTATC